GGAAGGCGGAGGATACCGGTGGCCATGGACAGAGGAGAGATTTCAGAAGCGAACGAAGAAGATGAATCACGCGAAGAAGACAAAGACGAACGATGAACGAAGCGGCGCCCCTGTTAAAACCCTAATCCTTTTTCTCTAAACCAAGACATTTGTTTAACCCTAAGAAAACAAATTATGAAATGTAAATGGACTCAACTCGTTTTCCCTGCCTAAGCCCAACGAAACTGCTTAAAACACCCCCTTTTCTGTTTCTGATTAGGCCCCCCTTTGAGACCTTTAGCCCATGCAACATTTGTTTATTCAACCCTTTTATTTCTAATACACCACTCTTTCTATTTTTACTTTCTATTAGTTTTTTTTAGAATATTATTAGTTTAATTAATTAGTGAGCTTAATAAAATAGAGCTTGTAATTTAATTAAACAATTTTAATAATTGACCAATTTTATTAGTTTAACTTTTAGGATTTAATTTGGTAATTTTAGTATCCTTTTTTAATTAGACTTAAGTTAGTACCTTCTAAGTTTTAATTTAGTTTAATTATTTAACAATTCTTAAATAATACTCTATATTAAAAAAAAAAACATATAAAAAGAGAAACACATAAAAATAGAAACTTTAAAAACATTTTATTTAATTAATTCTCTTGCGTTATTAATATTAAACAAAAATATAAAAATGCATGTTCACATCATTTAATATGTTATTTAATCTTTGTTATGGTTTAATCATTATCTACCTGATTTTCAGTTTGATTTATTTCATCTTTATTTGATTATTTCGTTTACGTCTAAATCCAAGGGAAAAAACGATTAAACTTGTTGACTTCATGTCCTCGAGTCTAATCACGCGAACATTTGCATTTCATTAAAACTTAAGACAATTTTTCCCCCAAATATCGATCTTTTCAAAACTCATACCTTTTAAGCAAAAACTTCGACATTAGGTCGTCATATCTTCAAAAACCCGTCCGTACCCCTTTTTGGCCAAAACAATTTATTTTTAATCAAACGAACATTTTAATAAACAGATATTTCAAAAGGTTCCTATAGAGTACTATAGATACATTGGGTGCTAATACCTTCCCACTGTATAACCAACCCCCGAACCATAGATCTCTTTTCAAAAACGCCTTGTATTTTTATTACTTCTAGAAAGTATTATTTTACATTGCATATTTAGGGTTTTATTTCGCTCTTTCCCCTTTTCCCTTGGAAATAATAAAGTGCGGTGGCGACTCTTGCTTATGTGAGACGAATTAATAAATAATTCGATCTCCGATTTACCCCGCTACATTTTTTATCGCTACAAGGGGAAATGGCAACTGTACCAGAAATGGAGGCTACAACTTGTGAGCCATCAGGTAAGCTAACAGGAATAGGCACTATATGTTTATATTCAACAAAAGATGCAAGATTAAAAGAAAAATGATCAGTGGCACCAGTATCTAGAATCCAGAGATAAGGATTCTTACCATTGAGATTTGAGGCATGAGAATTCATAACAAAGGGTGAGGTGGAAACTGAGTTAACTGTGGTATTGGGCTTCGACTGTTGGAGCAAAGCCAAGATGCTGTTGTACTGGTCCTGAGTAAAACCAAAAACAGAAGAAGTTGAATCCTTAGGAGAGGCTTCTGAAGTATTGTTAACCGATGCAGCTACCTGAACCTTACCTTTGCCTTTAAAACCTGGTGGAAATCCATGCTTCAAAAAGCAAGTTTCGATTGTATGATTTGTCCTGTTGCAGTGAGTACAGACCCTGCTGTGACCCCGTGAATTGTTGTATCCCTGATTCTTATTTCTGGAGTGATTGAAACTTTGCCTTGCATTAGCATGACCCTCATGAGTTTGCACCTGTAGAGCAGCTGTTTCCTCATTGGTGCTGGCAGATGTAATCTCCATAGAGATGGAAGTGTTCATCTCTCTTTCTTGTTGAATAACAAGAGAAAACGCATGGTTGATATCAGGGAGAGGATTCATCATCATGATTTGTGACTTTGAATGAGCAAATTTTTCATTCAATCCCTTTAGGAATCGTATAACGTAATCTTGTTCTCTGTATCTCTTAATCGATGCAACGGCACCACATGAACACGAAATAGCACAAGAACAGTACGGAATAGGACGATAATTTTCTAACTCATCCCACATAACCTTCAATTGAGTGAAATAGTTAGAAATTTAAATTCTGGCTGCAAATACTCAATGTCACGTTCAATGTTATGACACCGTATCTGACTTTCTATAAGACAGTAAATACAAAAACAGTAAAGAACACAGTCAATTGTTTACCCAGTTCAGTGTGCAACAACACCTACTCTGGGGGCTACCAAGCCAGGGAGGAAATCCACTATAAGAGATATTAATTCAGGAATAAACCAACCAGTTTATCTCCTTCACTTAAGATCTACCCAATGCAACTTCAATCTAAGTACAACTTAAACCTGAGTTCCTACTCACTCCCCCTCAATCACAGCAGTGATACTTAAAACAATTGACTAATGATTTAATGAAGACACTCTTCAAAACATACACTTGATTATGCTTCACAGCTTTTTAATCAAGCAACACAAACACTCTTGCTTCACAGCTTTGAGTGATACATAAACCTAACTTGACTTTGCTTCAAAGCTTTAGTCAAGAGACACAAAAACACTCTTGCTTCAAAGCTTTGAGTGATACAAAACCCTTACAATTAAAACCTATTCCAAGTCACTTATCACAATGATACTTGCTTGGATTACAATAGTTAAAACTATACAGCTTCTAAATGATCTTCTGTCAAAAAAGGGATGAATTCCAAACAGCAGCCCTGTTGAATATATAGTAGCTGCTTCTTCAGTTAGGGTTTCCACAAAAAGCTAGGGTTAATTCCGTTTGACCTTAAGACTTGGTCACATGACTTTATCAACCAGGTTAGGGTTGAACTAGGTTAACCCCAAGTCCACAGAGATTCTATTCTGGAAAGACTGAGTCATTTTCCTGAAAAAACTCAGAATTAACCAAACTGCATAACTGTTAGTTCAGAACAGGATGTCTTAACATTTGTTATGACATCTGAATTCCTGTTTACTGATTTTGGTAAATGTGATCATTTTGCAAAATGCTCAGATACACACTCATAAACATCAGTACCTGTATACCACTATTTTTCTGCAAAGGTACCTAATAAACCAGTACCTAATAAATCAGAATGTTATGATATTAGTCATGACATTCACACACCTGGTTTTACCAAAAATGCATGCCAATACCTAAACAACTACAGAAACATCGAGAGTACCTTGACGAAATTTGTAGAGATCTTCTTGAATATCGGAAATGCAGAAAATGTCGCCATGTGAAAACCTGATCTGCAAGTTCTTCCAAACGCCTGCTGCATTATCGATCCACAAGACGGACTTGGCAATGGATTCAGATATAGATCGTTGAATCCATGCAAGAACCATGGTATTGCATCGAATCCATGGCGCGTAAAGAGGATCTGACACTGGAGGCTTGAGTAGAGTTCCATCAATGAATTTCTCCTTGTTCTTGGAGATAAGAGCGATTTGCATCGACCGCGCCCAAACATGATAATTCTTATCGTTAAGCGGAGGAGCAACAAGAACAAGTGTTGGATTTTCGTTTGGATGAAGGTAATAAGGGTTTGCAGAATTGGTTGTGAAATCGGCATAGCTCTGGTGTGCCATTGGAGAAATCAAGAAGAAAGAATTCGCGATCGGAAAGGGAAAAAGACACACAGATAATCGCGAAAAAAAAAGGAGAATAGAAGAAGGTGGAAGACAATGGCTACCAGAGCTGGTTAAGCTCTGATACCATATTGAAGATGGAAGATCTCATAGAAAGTGTTGAAGAATGAAACAGAAAGCATTTTAGATGAAGAAGAAATTGGAAATTTGTTATCATTTCTCAACAGTACAAAGGAGCAGGATTACTGCTATTTATACAATAAAACTAATCCAATGAAGGAATACCACCTAAGCTAGCTAGATATAATCTTATCTATTTACATGTAATAAAGAAAAGTAAAAATATACAAGTATACTTCTATATACTCCAATACATTCCGTCAAGAATTGTATCTCCAGTTTCAATTTGAGCAAAGTAAATTTAGCTGATAGCAATTGGTTTTATAGTATGTAAAGGTGTATAATTATCATGTTATATGGGCGTGTTTGTATAAACATGTTTAGTTTGATTAATATACTGTGCTGCTTTATAAAAAAAAAATGTAAGTTTATGTCGGTTGACTTTATTGATAAAAAGAACTTGCAAGTCCTCTTCTTTTGGACCAAAAAATAAGATACTTTGAAGTGACAAATCGACTAGAATTTTTGATGAAATATCTATAGTTGGTACTTTTTTTTTGTCACTAATATATGTTATTAATGTCAAATATTATGTTTAAATTAATGAATGAATTTAATTTATTTTTATGTAAATGGAAAAAAAAATTTATCCAAATATTTTTATAAATAATATTAAAATAACATAATATTAATATAAGAAGATATACTATTCATCCAAATAATTTTATATAAAAATATTATATTTATAATTCATATATAAATTAAAATATGTCTTTCTTTTAAATATAATATATAATTTTTATAAATTAATTTTATTTTTCTTTTTTATATTTTATAATATTTTAAAATTAGAAGCGCATAACACGTTAATACTCGTGTAAACGAACCAACATTCTACTGATTTTTATAATAGAAACAAATGCATGCCAAAATTATTAAACATGAAAATCATATGAGTATGCGACAAAATCTGTAATTTGAACTTCAACAACTAAAAATATAAATAACAAGTAATACAAATAAAATTATAAATATAATTTATTTTTATTATTATAGAAATTCATAGTAAATATAGTGATCCCTAGTGGGGATTCGGTTGCAACAAGATAAGTTAAACATCTTTATTCCTTCTTTGTTATTATCACAAACAAATAAATACTTATTCATCAAGCGCATGGCCAGCAAGCTGCTCAGTTCTTCACTCTGCAATGAATAAATTGAAGTTGACATTAGTTTTCTTTAGAAAATAATTGTGTATGAAAAGTTCGCATTTTGAAAACAGATATAAGAAAAGTTTAAAATTTCTTAGCCCCTTTTTAATATTTTTTATTAGTTTAACTTTAATATATTGAGTCCAGGTAGACTTTAAAAAGATATATATGAAAAAGAGAGGGTTGATTTAAAGAGATATACGTGTTGCAGTCAATGGAGGAACTAATTTTGAAGGGCAAGTTGACACCACACTTGGCTGGAAGGGCAGCAAGAGCTGGAAGATTGAGTCCAGGTAGGCTGTTGATAGTGGATTCGAGGCACCTGCAAGCATCTTGACGATCAGGAGTAGTTTTAGCTTTGTTGTTAACACTTCTAACTCCATTGCAACATGGAGCAGGGACAGATGGACTTGGCGACCTAAGGTACCCAATGCATGGTGCTATAGTGAGTTGTATCTGACCACATGAAAGAGCTGCATTAGCTAAGGGAGTACCCAAAATCATGCATGTCATAGCTAACAATGTAACTTTGACAAACACTGAGCTAGCCATGATTGAGAAGATGAAATATTGCACTAGATATGTCACTGATTGTGGAAGTGATGAGTGTTATAGGGTGTAGCTAAGGACTATTTATAGATGGTGTACCCATTCAACTTTGGTTCCAACGTTTAACATTTATTGTTTCACCTTCAAAATCTGAACAGTAAACATTCAACATCACAAGAGTTTTAGATACCTATTTTATATTTTTGTAGCCATCTATTTAGTGTGAATAATCCTCTAATTTTATTCAAAATTATTCTTTGTTGCAAAATACTAAGTTGTGTAGATTAATTGATATCTGCATTTGAGTTAAATAGATATAATTAGTTGTTGGTTTATAATTCAATATCTTTAATCTCTACATAAAAATTTAGCTACTCTCTTTTATAGTACCTCACTTATTAACTATTTCTTTTTACAGTTATGATCTTATTTAAGGTATTTAAATTAGTTTTTACACTAACTATTTTAGACACATGTACATTTACTTAATTGTGAAAGATAAAGAGATTTAATTTAATTATTTAAAATCTCAATTATTGATAAAATTAGTTTGTTAAAAAAGAGCTAAAGTATGCATAAAAGATATTTTTAAAAAAAGACTAATTTATTTATCTTTGAGAAATTCAAAAGTTTAATTATTTGATTTTAATTTTTAAATGACTTAATTAGCTTTCTTTTTAATTTAAAAATAAACTATATAGACTCTTCCATAATTTTGATTAAAAACTAATTTGGATATTCACTCAGATAGTCAAACCTCAGAAAATAAAATCAATTTTTGTTCGAATAAAATGTTAAATTAACAGATAATTTGAAGTTCGAATTAATATTGAATCATCTTCTTTATTCTTTTAGATATTTCTTCTTAAGTTTTTCCATCTCTTAATCTTATTATATAACTTTATTTATTGATCCCTAATCAACCCTGACAAGTGCTTAAAAAATTACAAGAATAAACACCTACCGTATCTATATATGTAAACCATGTGGTTTGGAAAATCCTTGTCAAGGTGTTGCTTCCCCCAAAATGCTTATTAGTAATTGACACTTTCCCCTCATTTAAAAGTTCTTTATTTTTGGTTAAAAAATGAAAAACTTTATAGTTAGGTGAATAAGATGTATGATATGATAAATATATTATATGATATTTTTGGTAGTGCGTAAGACACTTTTAGTGAGTAGAAAAAAAGAGAATAATAAAAAAATAAGGATTATATTATTCACTTAAATTGTATGGTATAAAATAAAGATACACACTATGACTATGGATATACAACCCTAATTGGGCTTGATCTTACACAACTTTGATTATATTTAAATATTAAATCTAATCAAATTAAATCTAATATTTCAACATATCTCCATAATCCAAGTTGTCAGACCTATGATTATCATAGTCGATCTGAATTATTCCTATTTTCTTCCTCAAGTTCAAGAATATGTCGATCTTCAATCTTTTGTGAAAATGTCGGCCAACTGTGCTTCACTTGAGCAACACCTAACTTCAAGTTCACCTCAATTGACCTTTTCCATCAATAAGTGAAACCTAGCTTCGATATGTTTACTTCTTCCATACAAAATTAGATTCTTTGCCAGATTTATGGTTGACTTGCTTTCAATTTGCAACACTAGAGGTTTCTTCACTTCGACCTCCATTTCTTCAAGTACAAATTTGATCTGAGTTGCTTGACATGCATCATAGAATCGCGCTATATATTCAGCTTCACACAATGACAATGCCATCACCGGTTGCCACTCCGAACACCATGAGATTGAGGCACCAAATACTTAAAAAAATCTAGTTGTGCTTCTTCGATCTTCCTTATCTCCACACCAATCAACATATGAAAAAAAAGTAATTGTTGCTTCTTTGCCTTCAGAATCTCATCAGAATATAATTCTATAGTCTATCGATTCTTTTAAGTATCTTAGAATCCATCTTGCAAACTTCATGTGAGACACTCTTGGTTCACTCATATATCTGCTCATTAATCCGACTGCGAAACCTATATCAGGTCAACTGTTGCACACGTACCTCAGAGATCCCAAGATTTTCTTGAACAAAGTTATATCGACTTTGTCTTCCTCTCTGTTGTACCCCAAAATTTTCTCTCTAATTTATCAAATAATCTCTCACAATATCTCCTTTGGTTCAAGACCGCACAAGGTTTGATCAGCTCAAGACACCTCCTCTAGCACTGATGACTGAAAATTAGGGTTTGAGTTTGCACAAGGACAAATGGACTTTTAATGTCCTGTATGACTTTCATGGATCATTTTGAACTCTCAAGATTGTTCATGTCAAGTTTCAAGTCTTGGATCACATTTTTGCCCAGTCAATTGATCAGTTGACCTAAAATCAACTATAATGGGGAAAAAGTCAACTGAGGCCAATTTATAATCAAACTTCATAATTTTTGGTCGGTATCAACATCATGAACTCATATATGTCAATTGATCAAGTTTGGATCACAATTCCTCACGAAATTTGATCAAATCATCAAAAGGGCAAAATGGTCAAAATTAGGGTCTTGACTAAGAAGGTGCAATTTCTGATTTTTGATTTAGCAAATGATTGATTGGTTTGAGACATGATATCAAGGATTCAAATGCATCATTTTGACCTAATGGCATGGGTCAAAAACATTGCTCAAGATCAATTGGTTGACAGATGAATTTTCAGTCAACTGATCAAAAGTCAATTGTACACTAAAAATTCAAACTTTGACTTTTTAGTCAAAATCAAGTGTCAAAGATCACAATTCATCAAAACATGTCAAAATATGAAAATTGTTCATCAAGAAATCAAAAAGTCAAGATTTCGTTTTGAAAAGTCAAAATTTCTAAACTTAGAAATTTTTCTAAGTGTTGGAAATTCATATTTTTTCACAACTTTGAGAATTTTCACCATGATGCAAGATGATTCAAAGGAAACTTTCAACATGAAAGTTGTAGATCTCAATGAGATCTAAAATATTTTATAACACAATTTCTCCTATAAATGCATGGATTTCAAGTTATGATTTTGTGAATACATGTTCATGAAACTTGGAAACTTAGTGAAATTTTGCCCTAGTTTAGGCAGAGTTTTAACCTAATTTCATGGAAAATTTTCACATGGTTTCAAGATGAATTTTCAAAAATGTCCAACATATAGGTTATAGAGGATGCTACAAGCTTTCCAAAATGTCCAATAACTCATTAAAGTCATGTTTGAGCAAGGAGAATCGAAGGTAAGAAGTTAGGGTTTCAAACTTGTTTTTCAAGTCATTTTCATGATGAACATTTGACCCAATCCACACTCATGCTGCATGAATCTTACTTTACAGGCTTCTAACCTCTAAATCTATCCATAATCAGAATATTACACAACTATTTGAGCTATGATCCAAGTATTTGAGTCATTGTCCAAGTGATTATTCCATTAATGGAACAAAGTTCACACTTCCATTTTGGAAAAGTGACTTTAATCACGAAGTCAATCCATAGAGATCCTAACTTGTTTCATATGAACACAAGCAATGTCAAAGGTAAAAGCAACATGTCTAGAGCCTCCCATTGTACTATGCCTTGAAACCATGTTTTCCACTTTTCTTCAAAATCAAGTAACATAGCCATAACTCTATATCTCACAGTTCTGTCAATCTCAAGTGCTCTAACCTTTTTCATATAACTATACAAGTTATTTGCAAGCTAACAGACGATTGAAAACACTCCCAGACTCCCTGAAAACTGAGATTGCACAAAAACTCCATTGTTGTGAAGAACTTGACCAGAAACTCTCATCTCTCAAACCACTCGTGTGTTTCCTCTCCAAATCATCTCAAAATCTTCCATACTTCAAATAAAAATCATCCCAATCCCTGTTCCTAAACTGTAACACCATTTCACCATTGTCCAAGCTCAAAAATAGAGCATTGCAGTTGGACTTCTCCAAGCCATTTCAGCCACTATCAACTCAAGCTAAGCATTGCATTAGCTTCCTAGAGACTCAAGGAAGCTAACCTGATCATTGCAGCACCTTGAATCAAGCTCAAACTCATTTCACGATTTCTAGTTTTGAGGTATTTTTCTTGAAATTCTATCTTCATATTTAGGCATTGTTAGACTTGCATTTGTGAAGATAAAATGTAGACATCATTGCCCTGAAACTATACATGTCCATAGATTTTATTTATGTTGCTTGAGTAGGGAGAATTTTGAGTTTGAACCTCTGAAAATATTTAGGTCAAAATTTGGTACTGTTAGAAATTCATGCTTATCTTTGAGAATTGGCTTAAGTTATTTACATATTCAGAATCGTGAGGAAATTTCTAACAAGTTTGATGTTGAATGTTTTGAGAATGGATGAAAAATGAATGAATTACAGATTCTCTGGATGGAGGTTGAAGATGAAGTTACATTCAGGGCAAAACTTATGTTACATATTTGTTGTTTTGTTTAAGTTAACGGATGTATCACCACCCCAGTAGTTAAAGCGTGCGTCTGTCACTTTAGGGACCTGGGTTCGAGCCCTAGTGGTACCCTTTTGCCTATTTTTTCACATTTTCTTTCCATTTTTTTGTTTGAAACAGACATTGGGCTTCTAAACAGATGGGCTTCTCCTTTTTTTTCTTTCTTTTGCTAATCTCTGACTACTTTTACACCTCTGGTCCATTTTTTCTTTATTATTTCTTTTTTCTTTTTTTATTTCATTATATTTTATTTCCTTTAATATTTTTATTATTATTATTATTTTTATCTTTACTAATAAAAAATCCAAAAATATTATTATTATTATTTTCACACCTTATTTATTTCATTTATAAAAAACAAAAAGACTAAAAAATATTTTTCTTAAAACAAATTAATTTCTTTTCTTAAATAATTAATATTTAGATAATTAAGTTTAATCATTATATTATCCTCTTGTAAATAAAAGGTAATTTAGAACTTAAGTTTATTTTAATTGATTAACTTTCATTTTATTTTTATTAATTTAAAACCTTTTTTCATAAAAAACC